GCCCGTGACCCGCGGGCTGTGAGAAGAGGGAGAACCGAGGGGCGCAGCGCTCCAGGCACTGACGAAGGATGAGCAGAACGGTGCCGCGTGCGGACCTCCCACTGAAAAGCACTGCGGCAGCTGCAGACTAGCACACCGTGCTGTAGGGAGCGTGTATTCCCGCCCTTAGATGAAATCCCCTTTCATCACAAAGGTTAAAATACTATTTATGACAGTGTGAAATACTGTTATTGAGATAATGAGAATTCATACAAAGCACAGATTAAAAGCCTACCAGAATTTCAAATTTTAATTCAAACTTTCAAGTTTCTCATGGAAGGAAATCCCACCTCTCCCACGTTGATGCAAAACAAATTATTAATGAGATAACCTGATAAAACGTTATGCTATCGTTGACTCTAGAAAAATAAGATTATCATGTCTTACAGTTATCATGTCTTAAAGGGTACTTTTCTACAGCAAGTAAATTGTTAACCATTTACAGAAAGGAAATAAATAATTATCCCATTAGAGCAGCCTATACATTGCTTTAGCACAATTCTTGTTTTGTAGCATTTCAATTTATAAAACTGAGCACACATGCGAGTAATACAATACAGAATGTCAACAGCCAAACACAGAGACAGAATTTCCAGATAGTGGTTAATCATCAGCAGCACACAACTCAAAGCTGGTAGGGAAGTTTAAAATGAAACTCATAATTTTGAAACTCTGATACACACTGACCCAACACTAAAAAAAGACTACATTAAGAGAAAAAAAATTCAAACTTTTATTGACGCATTACTAGTTCAAGTACCCCCTCCTCCATTTATCAAAAGAGCTGAAGAAGTCCCGGAGAATTGCCCAGTATTTGCCACCTACAAGTAAGGTATTTGAGGACTCAAAAGGTGTCTTGAAAAAGATTCATCTTTTAACTTAGTGGAATGGATTATAGGAAGCTGACACTCTAGACACTGCCTACAAGTATTCAAATTCCACTAGCTGCCTACATGACAGAATTTGAAAGACGTTGGTGAAAATTCTTTCCCTTACAGTCCAAAGCTCAAAATATGTACAACTAAGTTAATGAGTACTATTAGTATGAGGCCCTCTCCTGCCTGAAATCAAAAGGAAAATGAGTATTTTAGACACTCAGTGC